GCGCCACATGTCACTGTGCACTGTAGCCTTCAGATCCACAATAGCAAAAAGCATTTCAGCCTTTGGTTAAGCGAGTCAACAAATCCATGTTTTAACACCTCCTCTTGAGGTCAAAAGCGTATCCGAAACACTTGCATCTTTCGCATGTCAGGGCGAAAGTACGTTTCATGGTCCTATTCAAATAAAGCCATATAAAATGCTAGGTCACCGCGAAGACAAAAAAGTTTTCCAAATTCGCTCCGTCACAGCCATGTCCTTTAGAAAATTCTAGAAATCTGCCACTGTCCCCCATTGACTCTTGATCCTAGTGACCGTCCAATTCGGCACAGGTGATGGCTTTGTCCTACAATGAGCTAATACACCGGACGATCACGGAAGCTTAGGTCGACCGTTAGATTGTGCTGCAATTCTGCATTTGCTCCTATAAGCCTTCACAGTTAAGGAGGGAATTTCGCCGCCTTCTTTTACACCTATCTGATTTGACCTTTTGACCCCACTTCGACACTCCCAACTCGTTTTCAAATTACCCCCAGACCCCCCCACGTCCCGACGTTCGAATCCGTACGTCGAGCCCAGTTTAGATTTGTGGTGCCCACTGTTGACATGGACGCTCAGCACAGACGTATCGATGCATGCGATTCTACAAGCTGCACATCTGACTATGTCAGATGAGCTAAAAAGTGTCACTAGTCCTAGTTTAACGGAGACCTCAACTGCATTAATAGGCGGATTCCTGTGTATAGTCATGGTGTAACAGTGGCATGGTGTGACAGTGTTTCATGCTGTATCATGTCATTTATAGAAACATAAATATGAAACTAGATATTTTACAATATGTAATATGATTTAATTAAATCAAAACCAGTAAAGTTATTAAATATTTACAGTGAATTAATGCAAAGTGTAATGTTCCATACATATTAAATTCTATAAACCCTTTTCGGCAATATTCCATTATCACCCTTAGCATCAATAGAGCGAGAATTTGTGTTAGTAATATCAAATGTACAATAATACGTTAGCAAATTTAAAATCGGAAAATCTGTATTTCCTCTGGCCTTTCATTGAGGAGTCGATTAACAATGGCAATCACTATAGCTGTGAAAATAATTAATGGTGGACTTGTTCAAGATCTCGCATTAATAAATATTATGGCTTGGTGATTTTCATTAGCTAAGACCAAAACCATGTCTTGTTCAACAGAACAATCCTAAAATTTTACACATGCGATGAACATAACGTTGTGACTAAAAGCATTGGTGAATTTTCGAGAGAAATATGGGGAATTCCCCTTAACCTGAGTACGGTATGATAGGCAAAACAAACATTGGCTGCTAAGGTAATGAAATTCTCTTCAGCACTAACTATGGTCTTCATGCCAGTATTACACACCTAGCTGCTAGATTTAGTATTGTCTTGCATGATATTGTGCAAGGCCCACAGTTCAGCATGTTAGACCAAACATTACCTGCAAAGTATTTAACACAGTAGATATCTACTAACACTTTTCTAAGGCTTGATAAAACCAAAGTTTAGCTGTTGTATAAATTAACAATATGAAAGTGCGAACTAACTGCCAAGTATGACCCTGCATGCTGTGTGCACTACAAGTTCGAGTCTTCTCTGAGAGCATACTGATTAGCTGTCGCCACCATGGCTTTGAGGTCGCGAGGGAAACGGTGTCTGTGGCAATGGATCCTTACATTGCGATTTTCAGGCATTCTCTCATCTCATTCTTTCACGCATTGCTGATGCCATCCCAGCTCTCGTGCTTATCCAGCTGTGCCTGTAACCGACAATAATTCCCCCAAGTTAGTTACAGCCCCAGCAACACGATATCCTTTGCTGAACCTCTCATTAGGCTTCTGAAACTCTATATTCTTCTCCTACATTTATTTCTCGCATTGTGGCTCTTTAATCCACATTTCTCATTACCAGCCTCGACTATTCTTTCTTATGCCCCTTCATTGAAACCACCTAGTCTTATAATCAATCGCTCTTCCTCCTTCACTACTTTGCATATGCGTGCAGCTTCACTCACTTGATCACCCCTAACGTCATCAGGTTAATAATGAAAATTAGTCATAATAACCCTGACGTCAGCATCAAACCGTTTTCCCACACAAATCACCTCGTACTCAGTCTTTAAAGCTGACCTCTCAACAGTGGATCTCATTCTCCTTCCCTACCCCTAACCTTACCCAAAGCCGCGGTGGTAGGGCCGATCTCTCCATGATGAGATGAATTCTTTGTGGGCAACTCTCCCCATCGCTCATCGATGTCAAAGATTTGGAAGACCGTGTTAACTATCGACGTGGATCGCTGAGCGTGTCCAGTGGAAATAGCACGCTCGCTTAAATTCCGCTGCAACACAAGCACTAGGTGGTGAGCACGGCTTGCTTAAATCTGCTGCAACACAAGGCATCTAGTGGTGAGCACGCTCGGCTAAATTCGGCTGGCACACAAGATACTAGGTGGTGAGCACGGCTCGCTTAAATTCTGCCCTGCAACACATAGACATCTAGGTGGTGAGCACGGCTCACGTTATAGGGCATAATCATGGCCCATCGATATGCAATTTTACGAATGCGTAGAGTGAAATGGCCACCTGTTAGATTAATAATAATTTACCTTTTATAGGCCAACGCGTAATTATTTGCCTCCAATATCACTGCTGGTTACCTAACGAATGTCTAATTGAAAATCGCCCAGTCCACGAAATCAGTTGACTGACTGTTTACAGTTTCGAAACCGCCATTCTCGAAAACGGGTGTGATACATGATTTATAGCCACCGGAATTTTCGCACGCATGCAAAAACCACGCACGCATGATTTCGCCTCGGCCGTACGCAATGTAGCGATAGTACAGTACCGTAACTGTATAACGTAACAGCAGGAGCGTATAATGACAAATACGCATACACATTTGTCATTATACGCCCTGTAACAGTAGCTTCTGATTGTAATGAAATCGTGGTACGGACGCTCGCTGATAATGAAGATAGGCTGGTGGTTTAGGGGCCACCTGGATGGAATCGCCGAACAACCACGGCCACAGACAAAATGGCAAAGCAAGACGGCACTACGCGTATATTACGTAATTATCGGTCCAACGAATACACCTGTGTCTGAAATTGCAAGACATGTAGGACCGCTTCATTAGCACCCACGATTATTTACTTTTGCCGCTGCAATACCAGAGATACACCACGAGAGACATTCTACTACTCATTAGTCGATATATAAGCATCCCGGCGACAAACAATTTCTCTGCTAAACACCCGCTAGCAACAGTGTGACGTTGCCTAACCGAATTCGAGGACTATTTTTGCTTGGCAACCAATTAGCGTTGGCGCCAGATTACACAAGATTACTAGCGCATTCAATTAGAACATTTCTTAGTAATTAGCAGTACTGATTCGCGACAAACTTAATACGCATTTGACTATAAGGTAATGTAGCTTATTAATCGGTGACAGAAGGTGCGCAGTTACTGTACCACTTCGTCAATTTTGTATAATCAATGGTGCCATATTATGCCTCAGTGGAAATGAGCACGGCTCGCTTAAATTCCGCTGCAACACAAGGCATCTAGGTGGTGAGCACGGCTCGCTTAAATTCCGCTGCAACACAAGGCATCTAGGTGGTGAGCATGGCTCGCTTAAATTTCGCTGCAACACAAGACATCTAGGTGGTAAGCACGGCTCGCTTAAATTCTGCTGCAACACAAGACATCTAGGTGGTGAGCACGGCTCGCTTAAATTCCACTGCAACACAAGGCATCGCTGTGCATTCACTACAAAAGCGTGTTAGCACACTATGTAAAATAATTGTGCTTCAATATGTGATGCCTAGACATCTTAGTAAATCGTCGTCAGAATAAATATGTCGCTAGGGAAGTAGAGTACATTGTCTCGGTGGGTGGTTGGCATAAGTATTACATTCACACATCAACGAAAGCAAACACTCATTGACGGCAAGTACCTTGTGTGACTGGGTGGTTGGCATAAGTGTACATCCGCATTGCTATTGCAAAGTCATCAAGGTTGTTGAGGAACTGGCAGAACTGCTTAAAGTCCTTAAATGTGATGCCCTTAAATAAAAAAAAAACGAGTTAACGAAAGCATATGAAGAGTGGTTATGAGATTTTTGGTCATCTTTCGTCCCTTGCAAGTATTCACAACAGGACCAAAACATGAAACCATGTATTTTTCTCATAATACGACAATTATAACATTCTCCTAACAATGCCCACAATGCATTAACAAATCTGACTACAGAAATAAGACAGGATAAAACAATAATAATAGTAATAATATATAATATATTATATTTATGTATATAACAAAAATTCGTGCTGCTACTACAGTCAAACCTGGACATCTCTATATAACAGACACCTGTCTATAAAAGACAATTTTTGCATTTTATTGAGTAGGCCCTACTACTTCTATAGACAAAGGACACCCGTCTATAATAAAGGACACTTGGGATTTTCCTTTTTTGATCTTTGTATACAGGTTTGACTGAAAATTTCCAAAGCACCAAGACACCAAGCCATAAAACACCTGTACGATAAAAACATGTAGCAGAATCTAACACGTAAGCAGCAGGGCTTTTTTCTTCAACTACCTTATAATTGATTAGAACTGCAGAAAATATTATAGAGATATCCTAATAAAATCCTACTTGAAAGAAACAATCGGCAGCAAAAGTTGCTTCAAGTTATATATAAATTCACTTACTGTTCGCTATGGCATGAAAAATGAAGTGTTGTGATAGTATATAGTACGACCACTATAATCTAATTCGACAAAGTGTAAGTGGAAATATCTTTCACGCTTCATTTGGTCATAGATACTAACCCAAGGGGGTTAGTATACCCCCTTGGGTTACCCCCTTGGGATACCCCCTTGGGTTAGTATCTATGATTTGGTTGCTCAATGTATGCTCATGGTGGATAAATGCACGAGTTCCCAACAGGTGGAACCACTAGGCTATAACATTGATAGCGCTAGATATAATATATATAATATCAGGAGCTAATAATGACAAATTTGTCATTATTAGCTCCTGATAATATACGTGCGTCAACGCGCAAGCAAGTTGGCTGATATAATATCAAGAGTCCATAATAGAAGACTAATTTCTCTTATTTCTATTATGGACTCTTGATAATATCCATGTGTACGCGCGCACGTGTATAACGCCAAACCTATCATTTTCTTTCTAGCGACAGGACAATGAATGCACTGTGCACCACAGCTTTCAGGCATATTGTAAATAGATATAATACAGTAATACCTAGCATTAGGTACCGAAACTCGGGTTAGAGAAGTGTATTCACACGGAATTTGTAAATTGTGACTACTAAATTCGGTATACAAAACGAACGTAGGATATATACTTTTGTTTTTTTACCCAGAAAATTGAGTGCTCAATACCCATCAATAAAATTAAGAACCCAGGCAGCTGCCAACAAATCGGACAGGTAGCACTGCAATCTATCTGTCTATCTGTCCGTCCGTCTCCGTCGTAAACACATAGTTGACAAAAACGTGATCCCAGCTATGAAATTTTGTGTTGCATACATTTTCTGGAATCGATTACTTCCATAATGCTGGTTATTAATACAGTGTAACAGACAAGAACTTCATTTGCACCACGCCACAAGACTGCCCGTAGCAACAATGCTCAATAGCAACCAGCGAAACTAGAGGCGTTTTTATCTAGGCAGTGGCTACGGGTACGCCAGGCGTATCTTAATGTCTCGAGGCTACGGGTACGCCAGTCCATTCGCTTTCATACTTAACGAGACAAAGATGGCGGCGGTCGCGCCAGATTTCGAAATAACGCCTTGGGAAATAAATTCACGATTTGAGAGTTTAGATGAGCAAGAACCCTAACCCTAACCCTAAACCTAACCCTAACCATAACCCTAAACCTAACCCTAACCCTAATCCTAACCCTAACCCTAACCCTAACGCAAAAAAGGGGCTTGAACGACCGACGGCTGGCGTACCTCCAGCCACTGCGTTGTTTTTATGTTTGAAAGTT